TCATCGTCACAATCCTGAGAGGCAGATTGGGCTGAAAGAGAGTGAAGGGCCCAAAGTCAGCGAATGAGCTTCCATGGGTGAAGAGTGATTTGAAGCTGGGTTGTCCTTGTCTAATATCTGAATTTACAGGGGTGTAAATGTAACACCTTTTTGCTGTTCTTTAAGTCAGTTGCACCTCATCCTGGGATTGCATTTCCTGGAGCAACATTTAGGCCTGGGAGCATACATTCTGCAATGGGTTAAGAAAAGAGATAAAGATTTCTTCTCCAGATGATCATGATGGATTCCCAGGGTTCAACTTAAGAGGCCGGTTGATCTTCCCAACAACCATATTTTTATATGAAGGCTTAAACGTGAAATATCTTATGTAAAAATGCAGAAGCCACCCCAGTTACAATGCAAGAGACAAACAAGTGGCTTTTTTTAGATCAGGTTCTCCAAACTTGGCAACTTTTAAGACTGGTGGACTCCTCAGCCACCATAGCTGGGAGTTGAAGTCCACAAGTCTTAAAGTTGCCAAGTTGGGAGACCCCCCTGCTTTAGATGATGGTCTTCTACTGATAACATTCAACTTGCTTAACTATAGCTGCGCAACTCTTAGGTGTCACTGGGGTTCTTGGATGGTTCTCCAGCATCTCTGCATTTTTAAAAACTAATTTTAAATCTATTTCTTAGGACCCTGTGGTGAAAGGACCATTTCCATTACCTGCAAAAGACCATTTAAGGCTGAAGCAAGAACTTCCAATTCCAGCTGTTTTCCTCCTTCATATTTGTGCAAAGCCCCTCTCTGCTCCCAATCAGGTGGGTGCTTTCTTTTGCCACTCGCTTGCAAACACAGAAAGTTTAGTAAGGTGCAAATCAAGTGACTTTGTTTTGCTTCTGAGCCTGGAGTTAGGAGAGGCTGGGAGACTCTTGGCATTCTTCCCATGACTCCCACAGTTCTTTTATTATCCTTTATCAGCACTATTTGATCCAAAGAAGGTTTTTACACAGCTGTGCACCAGATGCCGCTTTTTTCACTGGCAAGTATACCCTTGTACAGAATCGGTAAAAACCATCAAGGTTAGAAAGGATAGAGGCAGCTTTCCAGCCAAAGGGAAAGCATGGCCTATAAAGCATCTGCGAAGAACTTTGGCCCATCTGGCTGTTGAACTATAGGTGTCTTGTTCTCTCACCACTGGCAGTGCTCGCTGTTATAGTCCAACAGTATAGGAAGGATTACAGGATTTTCCGTCCTTGCTTCAAGACATAATTATCACTGGGGTATAAATATATGTCTTAGGGATATTGCTTTTGGCTACTCATAATGGGTGCACAGGACAGACTTTCGTAGGCCTAGAAGACAAGCAGGTCTCGGAGAATAAGTGTGTCCAGTTTACACTAAAAAAGCTGCATTCTCCAAGATAGCAATAGCAGCAACACTTAGATTTATACACCACCCATTAATGCGTTACAGCACCCTCTGGACTGTTTACAACAGACATGTCAAACTCGTGATGTCGCGCAACGTATCAGGATGGTTTTGCCATTGCCGGCAATGGGGTGGGCGCGGCTTCTGGATGACGCGTCCGGCCCACAGGCCAGCAGTTTGACACCCCTGGTTTACAATGTCAGCATATTTCCCCCAGCAGTCCTCCTTTTACCAATTGGTCAATTCAAATTCCTTAAAAGATGTTAGGGAGAGTTGCTAAAGAGAAAGCATCAATAAACAGCTTGCATTCTTCGAGCATGTGAGATGATACTCCATGGCCAGGCTTCTTTATTGCACACAAATAAGTGCATGGTGAGCGAACAGAGCGAGTTGTAACATTGCACTTAACACTTAATCGACTCTAAATGCTACTTTGAAAATATTCTAGCACAGTGGTTCTCAACCTTTTTAATGCCGCGACCCCCAACCGGTCGTAAGTCGAGAACTAAACCGGTCGTAAGTCGACTAAACCTGTTGTAAGTTGAGGACTACCCAACCGGTCGTAAGTCGAGGACTTTCCCTACCCGGGAGCACCGCACATGCATGGTTCCGCCCCCTGCGCCGGCCGAGGCGTAGCTGGCAAGCGGCAGAGATGGAGCAGGCCGACCACCAGCTGGCCCAGCTCAAGGGAGGTAAGGCACCCACCGGAAAAGGGGGAAAAAAATGGCGGACAGCCTTGCTTGGCGACCCCCGTGAAATGGTTGATCGACCCCAAATGGGGTCGCGACCCATAGGTTGAGAACTGCTGTTCTAGCAAAATCCAAAGCCTGGTTAGTTTTCCTGGTAAGTCTGCCATCCTTCAGGGCTTTGTTATTTGTGTGCACTGATGCATTTTCGACTCCCCCAAACCTAAAATGAATCAGTCTACACATGAAATAACCTGAACTGAATCTGAGCACATATTTTCCATGCATGCAGTGTTTAATGCAGATGATTCTGTCTCGGCAGGTGAACGGCATTCGTTTCATTGGTCTCATGAGGGGACAGGTTCTGATAACATGGGATGACAGCTGTGTGAATTCAAAGTAGGTTATTTTCCAAAAATCCACCATTGTTTTCGATACATTCATTTTCCAGATAAAATATTAATTTAATAGCTATTTTCAATTGTGCACACTGTAATGGTTCTTTGTTAGCAAGCAACTAGCTGGAAAATTTCTTCCCCATCATACTTCTAACCTCTAGTATAGTTACATAAGACTACAGAAACCTGGGACTGATGAATACTTTTCAGCTCATCTTGACCTGCATCTGTAGCACTAAAACATCCGAATCGTATAATATAGGAAGGTGGCTTGTGCTGTTTGGGACATTTGCAGGAAAGACTTGAAATCTGTGCCTCTATCATATTTTCACCAATAATCCATTTATTAGAGACAAGGCCACCTTCCACAAGTGAAAAAGAAAAAGGGTGAGAGCAGAATCTCTCATAAGAATACGACTAGAACAGTATGGGTAGTCCTCAACTTACAGCCATCCGTTTAGTGACCAAAGATACAATAGCGCTGAATAAAGTGACTTATGATCAGTTTTCACACTTAGGACAGTTGCAGCATCCCCATGATCTCGTGATCAAAATTCGGGGCTTGGCAACTGGTGTGTATTTATGTGATCGCCCTTTGTAACCTCTCCAGATGTGCTTCTGACAAGCAAAGTCAACGGAGGAAGCCACGTTTGCTTAACAACCGCACGATTCACTTAGCACTGCAGTGATTCGCTTAACAACTATGCCAAAAAAGGTCACAAAATAAGGCGCAATTCACTTAACAACTTAAGTGAGCAGTGGAATGGAATAGCAAGTGGAAATTTTGGGCTCAAATGTGATTGTAAGTCAAGGGCTGCCTGCATTTCTCAGCCTTGACAACTTTAAAATGTATGGATTTCAACTCCCAGAATTCCCCAACTGTCAAGGCTTGCTGGGGAATTCTGACATTCGAAGTCTACAAATCTTAAAGTTGCCACGCTTGAGAAACTGTACTAAATGGATATCCTTGAGACAGTTCAATCTGCCCCCATTTTCCAGCATATTTAACATGTATTTATCAATCTCAAAGACAGCTCTAGGTCCAGTGCAGGGGTAGGCAACCTTGGCTCTTTTATGACTCGTGGACTTCAACTCCCAGAATTCTTGAGCCTCGTACCGACCGAGTCCTTAAGACCCTCAACTTCAGGTGCTCAGTATTTTCTTGGTTCCGACGGATGGGGACTAGGTCACGTACTCTTACCTAAAAAATTATGATAATAATAATAATAATAATAATAATAATAATAATAATAATAATAATAATTTATTATTATTATTATTATTATTATTATTATTATTATTATTATTATTGATCATCGCACAGTCAGCCAGATGTTCAGACTAGATTTGGCATTTTTCTCTACCTATCGAGTCCTTACCCAGGACCTGGGATAGGCAGATGTGGATGTTTGATGGTATTACAGATATCGTCGCGGGATGGAAGCAGTTCCTAGTAAGCCCGCCTTTTGCAATTGACTAATGGCGAATTTGTCAATGCCAATGGTGTTCAAATGGTGCTCCTGTTGTTGTTGTTGTTGTTGTTGTTGTTGTTGTTGTTATTATTATTATTATTATTATTATTATTATTATTATTATTATTATTATTATTATTATTTTGCAATGTGGTGCTGTACTATGCAGAGTCCTGTTCTTGCAATGACATACTCAGCTATTGGATTCCTCCCCACTCCCCCTCTTATTGCTTCAACCTTCAACTTCTCTTTTCCTGGAAACTCCTTTACTCTGTGGAAAAAATAAAAATAACCCTGTAACCTTTGTGATATATATGCATTTGTGTTCTCACACAGATGTTTGAAAAAATTTGAAGTGATGTTTTCAGTGGATGGGAAAGAGTATCACCAAATCAGTGTCAAGGACAATATATTTACAATGTTAATCTACAGCCCAGGTAAAAAAACACTTCCTGCATTTTTAAAGGTACAGCGAATGCAACTTCAGTTTGAAACCTCAAGCATGCCTTTGGAATTTCATTGGAAACTACAATTCTTACTAAAATTATTTACAATGTTATTTATTGTTAGCACTATATTTCATGTTAAAACTATAGTCATTAATACAGTATAAATTTGTTGCTTTTGGAAAGGAAGCTTTAGTTTTAAGCCTTTTTCTGAATTAGGAAAATAGGTGGGAAATAGTTTCTTTTCAAAAAGTGTCTTTAAGATCTTTCCCAAAATTGTGTTGCAGGATTTGCTGACCTAAGCATTCCTCAGATCCTTATTTAGTGAAATATGTAATGACACCTTCATTGCCATGCACAATGTTTTGAAGCCTCCATAGGCAGTTTCTGGAAGGAAACATTTTTAAAAGGGGAAATTCAAGAAGGATAATGAACATATGCATAAAGAAAGTATCTTCTTTTAAGTGCTTTATGTCAAATCTCTAAATTGGTTTTTGAACTGAAGGGAGGATTACTAAACATTTCTGCAGGGTATCTTCTGGAGGACAGTTTCTTGAATTTAAAGCGGGGAGCCTGCAGTCTTTGCCACCCACAATTTTCAAATCTCAGATATCCTGTAGTTGAGCTTTGATGAATGGGGCCTGCCCGTTTCTTGAAAAAAAGGATCCTACAGAGGAAATGTAGCCCCACCTATAATTGATACGTAGCCCCAACACATTTCCCTACTCCAGTTTGAAAGTCTCTTCAATTGCATTGGAGTGCAAATCCATTGTTCAGATATTCTGTTTCCAAAATTTTCCATTGGTAACAAGTTTTCTTCATTATCTTTTAATGCAGAAAATGATATTTAAAATATAAATGGATAGACATTGATTTCAGGAACACGATAAGAAGATTTGCAATTTCAGTTATAATTGAATATTCTTAATGTGAATTAAATTGAATGGTCAGTCACAATTGTGTTTACAGAAATATTTCAGGAATATCTCATAAAGAAATTAAAATGTCACAATTTCTCTATTTGTTGGGTTTTCTTTATAGGAACAACAGTCGTGGGTTATTACAAAGTCCGTGCTGTGGATTACTGGGACAGGCCAGGTCCGTTTTCTGTGCCTATGTTTTACAGAGAACCATCTTAAAAAGAAGAAGAAAATCTTCATCAGAAGTTATATAATTAAAAATGCAAGTTGCAGTTCGCTTTTCATTACAGGCAAACCATAACCCTTAAAAGGATGGTTTTGTTGTTCTTACCAAAATCTTCTCTTTTCATTGGTTTAGCCTTCTATATTCTTCCTCCACCAATAATATGGAAAGACTCTTCTTTTCCAGATCATTTTTAAGCACTATTCTGGAATCACACTCATGAAATCGTAATAACAAAGTAGAACACTGCTGAACTCTATTTTCTTCCCTACATTGCCATAGTTGGCAACGAGAACGTCCATTTATTACCTGAATTGAAATAATGATAATTTCAAGCTGCAGAATCTGGATTGCATGAAAACAAGATGGATTTGTTAACCTTTTCTTAAAGCTACACACTTAAGTGTACACTGTTTAGATTTCCAGTCACAATATCATGATCCAGGGATTCCCTGGTCTGCGGCCTGGTGCCGGCCCGTGGCCTGTTGGGAACTGAGCCGCGCAAGCATCAGGTGAGTGTGAAGTTGCATTTGTGGAAGCGACACGCACATGAAACCATCCCCTCCCCTCCTCCCACTGCTGCCACTGCCAGTCCACAAAACCAGAAAAGTTGGAGACCGCTGTCATAGTCGGTTCATAGAGAACATGAGCACTCATTCCCATAATTCAGTTCAGCTCAAAGAAGATCTCTTTCTTGACCTTCTACTCAAGCCTTGGAATAAGGGAGCTTCTTCCGCCTCAATCCACTTCATTCTTTTCTTCAAACTTTGCATCATTCAAACACATCACGCACTCGCTTTTTTTGCAGCCTCGGGAAGGAAGCAGAAGGAAACCTCCTTCTAAAGAGTGGAAGGCAGCAGAAGTGATAAATAGCCCAGCTTGAATACTTGTGTAAGGAAAAACGTCCCTGTGAAGCTTTTATTAAACAAGGATAATTTCAGCCCAGGGATTGTGTATTTTCAATAAATATTTATTTATCTGAAAAAAAGAGTTTACTTAGAGATGGGTGAGGTAACATATTCCAATTTCCTGTCAGAATATTTAAGTATGCCTTCTTAAAAAATGTATGCCATTCCAATACACAAGGTGTGTTCAAAAAAAAGTCAAGATGATGGCAATAATAACGCAATCAAAGCACCTCTTTTGCATGTAAATTGCAGAGCTTTGATTCCACTGTAATCACCATTAAAGTGACATTTTTGACCATATCCTGTGGATCCCTGGTGCAGTAATGGCTGCCCTCTTGGGTTTCTGATCACACCCTTGAATGTCCTTGAATTGTTCTCAGCATTGTTAGCTTTATAGTTGAAGGATCTTCAATTGGGGCTAAAAATATAAGTAGCTCTGTGTTGGGACATAAGCAAGGTGAGAAGTTTGAATCAGGCATTCTCAATTCAAATATCACCTCAGTTACAAGCCTATTAGGTTTTCTTAGGTGACTCACTTCTAAATGTTTGTAAAGATTGCCAGTTCTTAACACACACACACACACACACAAATGAGAAAAAGTTAACAATTTTCTGGGTCATGGCGGGAAACAAAAGATAGAGACCAGAACTAACAGCATCAGAGCCCAATACATTTTTTAAAAATCTTTGAAAATGTTAAGAGGGATTCAAATGTTCAGCTTTGATACTGAATGTATATTTTACTTAAATAAATATTTTCTATAAAAACAAAATTGTGCATATATATCTATATGGGAATAATTAGGGATCCACATTGCCTGGGCACGTTTTAGTCATGTGGAAGTTATATCTACCGGTAATTCCACTTCAGGCATGCTTGCTATACACAGAGTTTCAACCTGTTCCTGCAGTGACAAGTACACAATCTTGCTTTGCATTTTACATCAGTATCATTGCAAGCAATGTGAAATGATCGAGGAAGTGTTTACAGGGAAGTGGAGGTTTCTGTACAACCACTAATAGGAGTGCGGTCCTTTCCATTGCTTCTCAGGCAGCCTCAGAAGGAGTTCATTTGGTGAATACAAAATAACCAAACAGTTTATATATCTGATATGGTCATCACTGGTTAAATAAGCCAACGCACCCGCTTCACATCCTCATGTATGAGTACAAGCTCAGTGTTTTTCATTGGAGAACAATTTATATATTTAGGGCAGGGGTCCCCAATGCCCGGGCTGTGGACCAGCATTGGGCTGCGGCGTGCCAGAAACTCTAGGATCCAAGCAGCATGTGAAACCACGCCCCCTCCGGGCCACGGAAAAACCTCTCTTCGTGGAACCGGTCCCTGATAGCCAAAAATTTGGGGACTGCTGATTTAGGGGATAGTCATTAAGTAATTAACAATTCCATAAGTGTGCAACAGGCTGGACATTCTGAAAACCTACCCCAATGAACTGAATATCTTGAGTCTTCCTCTTCTCTGAGATGGCTGATTTGGTGTGTTTCTCATCTTGCCTACCAGTGCTATGCAAGCTATTCATAGGAAAACTTGTAACTATTATGACTATTAAAATTATTTAATGATCTCTCCTAAAGCTACAGTTGTAAATTTAGTCAGAAGGAGAAAAAAGGCATTTCCGTTGACAAGACTGGTTAGCTAATGTCATTGATGCAATGGGCATGAGTGTGGGCAGACCTGGGGAGTCAATGGAGAACGGGGGGGGCATGGTGTGCTATGGTCCATGGAGGCGTGAAGAGCTGGATATGACTCAGCAACTGAGCAACAATAAAAATTGACAAGAAAGGTTCACAATGAGGTTTATTCATTCAAATGGATTCTGATCCTTATTCATACCAGTGCTCATTCTTACATAGTTATAAATTACATTGCAGTATTGTAAAGACAATCACGGTGACCATTTTATCCATACTTCCAAGACACTATACCAGGGGTAGGCAGGCAACCTTGGCTCTTTTATGACTCGTGGACTTCAACTCCCAGAATTCCTGAGCCTCTGGGTGTTGAAGTCCACGAGTCATAAAAGAGCCAAGGTTGCCTACCCCTGCACTATACCAATAGGAATTGAAGAAAATGTTCCAAGGAATAAAGAGAAGGAGACACTGCCTAATCTAAATGAGACGCGCTTTGACATCATCCATAAACTATGTCCTGCATGTGTAGGAACTGAAATGGTTAGTCTTTGAATAACTTGAAATTATCATAGGGAAGATAGACTTCTAAGGATATTTAAGCATGGATGCAATGCCCCTTTGGACCAACATCCAAAAACAACCTCCATAGCTCAAACTTATGAAATAAATGTCTCTAATGCGAGCAAATTTTCTGATAGTTTAATATATAATTGCCAGCTCTGAGTCCTACTGAGAAATCTGGGATGAGCCAGGATGCCAGATAATTTCCTAAATGGTTAGACAAGCACATTAAGGAATAAAGCTGAAGCCAGGATTAAGGAACCATCAAGAGCTCAGGAAAACTTCATCTGTTGAATAAAACACTCAAATGAGAAAGCCATGTTGTTCTCTTTCCTTAGTAAGCAGGAAAGATGGCCTGCAGGATCTTTATGGAGAAGCTTCCTCAGTTGTATAATTCTCCACATGGGACAATCACACATGGATCTAGAAGATTCTAGCAACAGGTTATTGGAGCTTGTCCATCTTGGATGGAACTATACAAAGAACAGTGGAGGCCCCATAGAAAGTCTCCCTTTGCAATATCTAGGTCAGGGGGTCTTCAAACTTGGCCCTTTTCTGACTTGTGGACTTCAACTTCCAGAATTCTTTAGCCAGGCACGCTGGCTGAGGAATTCTGGGAGTTGAAGTCCACAAGTCAGAAAAGGGCCAAGTCTGAAGACCCCTGATCTAGGTCAATGTATGCTGTGAACTACAATTTTCAAATATTTTTGTCCTTCCATATATAACTTGTGTATAACCCAAAGGTGCTTTCAAAAGGCAACTGGACTTTCTTGTTTTGCTCGAAAAAAGTCCAGTTGCCTTTTGGAAGAAAGCACCTTTGAGACAACCATGATTTAGATGATTGAGAATCTCCATTGACATCTTGCGTATAACTGATGCTTCTGTATTTAAATTAAAAGTCAAGAGTTGAAATTAATGCAGGACAGGGAAAACCTGGCATAGAATTTTGATAAAGTTTGCAGAAGGAAAATTACATTCATAAGGCCTGTATCTTTTGCTGAAGAATTCAGCGCCATAACAGAGATGAATATAGGTAAATTAAAAGATAATTGAAAAAAAAAAACCTCTAGTTTTTAAACTGATGCATCACTTTGGTTCTTAAGAGTTCATACAAGAAGTAATGTGCTGTACCCCGGGTCAGTTTTCTTTTAAAAATCTAAATACCAGAAGCCAGCACTTAAATGTGCTTTGAAAAAAAAATGTTTCAAAGAATTTGTGATTGAAAGAATGTTTGAGATGTCAACATTAGGCCTTTATTCCATCTCTGGACTGGTGGAGTTTTGGTTTAACAAGCCCCTGTGGAGACAAACAAAATAAACAACGTTTAGTGCCCGTAATGTAACAAAAAATTGCTGAGAACATTTATTTATTTTATACCTGGTAATTCCACAAGACATTTTTTACATTTCTTACTTCTATGTATAGGAGAATCAGTAAATACTATAGCTGGGGTCAGGCCATAAAATTAACTGGCAGATTTTAATTTTAAGGCAGATTCAGTTTTATTTAAGGGATTCATTGCTACAAAAAATGATTGCAATTTCTAGCCTGAGACAGCTTTTAAAAACTTTTTAAAAATTCACAACTGTGGTTGAACTAAATGTGTGGAAGCCGTTTCTTAGATCCTATTATGGTTTATTAAATGTTTCAGCTAGGTTCACACAACATGCTAAGCCAAACCAATTAAACAATATTATGAGGGGTCTTTGGTGCTCTCTGAGCTTGGTTGTTGTCTTTTAGACGTTTCATTACACAACTAGGTAACATTATCAGTGCTAACATTATGGTTTGGTGCAATGTATAAACCAGATCACTATCCTGAATTGTATTGATCACGCACTGGGAATTCTCATGATCTTAGAATCTGAGGCTAAGGCTAGCACTGCCTAGATTGAAACAGCTTTTCCACATTCTTCCTTTCCATAGACAATACCAAATTCTATCTTCTGATAGGTCAATGCCTCATGTTGCCCCACCGAAGTCAAATGGAGCAACAGGGTCTTTTCACATACCTGACTGTAGCACAGGCTGGAACAGGCCAGTCATGCAGATTTCCTCCTGCTTCTGCTGCACAATTTTCTGAATGGCGGGGGAAAAACCCCGAGGGTTGCGGGAGAAAATGATGGCGTAGCCATCATCGCAGGACCCATCCTCCTTCAGAGTGCGGCAGGCATAGGTGATGGCATAGTTATCATAATCTGTGTCAATCACCCAGTAATCATCACCTGGAATACAAAATCCAGTGTAGATAATGAGTTCTGATAACTACTGATAGTATCAGAAACAAGAGGATTAATATTAATTCATGGACCCCATGTCCTTCCTGCTTGTTTTTTGTTCACACACAAAAAAATAATACAGTACTTCCTGAAAGTGTAGGGCATGGGTCCCCAACCTCTGGTCCGTGGACCAATACCTGGCCGCAGCATGCCAGAAACCGGGCTGTGAAAATAAGCAAAGCCCCATCCATGGGATGCAGGCAGCACAGGAAACCACGCCCTCTCCGGTCCACAGAAAAACTCTCTCCACAGATCCAGTCCCTGGTGCCCAAAAGGTTGGAGGCTGCTGGTGTAGGGCATATACATTGAAAAGACAAAGATAACAGCTGAATATCCAGATTTGTCATTTGAAGGATTAATATCTTAATGCCTTCAAGTTGTTGCTCATCATTCTTAACAAAGGTAGAAAGCAGCACAAAGGAGAGAGGATAAAGAAGCAGGATGACATAACTTTTCTTTCCAGAAAAATATAACAGTGTAGGTTTTCCCACCGTTACTAAGACATTTTTCAAGTCATGATGCCCGCCATTTGAAATACACTCTAAAAGCAGGGTTTCCCAACCTTGGCAACTTTAAAATGTGTGGATTTCAACTTCCAGAATTCCCCATTTGGCTGGGGAATTTTGGGAATTAAAGTCCACATGTCTTAAAATTGCCCAGGTTTGGAAACCTCCTCTAAATTTGATCTGCCTCAGCACCAAGTCCCATTCTTAGTGGATTGTGTGGCTTTGCTTAGAATTTAAACTGAATTTATTTTAGAATGTTCTGCTGGCATTACAAGAAGCAACTGGGGGTTGTTTTTTAGAATTAGGACCTAATTTTCATTCTTATTGAAGCCATCCTGAATATTTTTTTAATAAAACAGTGAGTCATACAATCAACAATAAAAAGAGGGGTATGCATACAAAGGACTAAGATAATGCCAGAAAGGCTGCAAACACTCAAATGGATATATGTCTGTGGAGATTCTCAGTCATCCAGGTCGTAGTTGTCTCAAAAGTGCTTCGTCAAAAGCCAATTGGACTGTTTTGTTCCTTAAGGAAGAAGAACCTCAAGGGGAAAAAAAGTTTTTCCTCAAGGAAAAAACAGTTCAGTTGCCTTTTGAAGAAGCACTTTTGAATCTCAAATGGATATAATTTTGGATTTTAAGCACCATTTCAGAACATTCTGATATATCTAGGATTCATTGGACGTATGACACATAATTTTTCCTCTAAGTTCTTGGCCATAAACGTACAGGAAAAGCAAAAAAGAAAAAGAAAATGGCTGGAAATAGTAGAGTAGAGGAGCCTAAAATTATGCACAATATAGTGAAAGTAAATAGAAGTGTTTCTTCCTCTCATTCTGGAGTCATCTAATGAAACTAGTGAGAGATTCAGAACTTCCCATTTTCTTCTGCGCAACACCTAATTGAACTATGGAATTCTCTACCAGAAGATGCAATAATAGTCATTAAAGATATGATATATCAATGGCATACAATGCAATCAATGTACCACACATTTACTCCAATATCAGAGATGATAATGTCTCTTTCTAGCTCAGAAATGATATAAATAACTTGATGATTAGGCAGGATAGATTGTAGAAAGAAGAGGGTATAAACCAGACATGTCAAACACAAGGCCCGGGGGCCGGATGCGGCCCGCAAAGTGGTTTCATGTGGCCCGCGAAGCCATCCTGGAAACAGTGGAGGGAACAGCCCTCTCTGCCTTGGCCCTGGCCCAGGCCAGCCGGGAGCCAATGTACAATTTTGTGGTGGCCATCTATGCTGAAACATATTCAGTCTTAGCTCCATAAGCCCCCCCCATGGCCTGAAAGGAACAGTTAGGCTCCTTCAGTGGACCATGCCTTGGCACTTGCCCTGGTCCCACACCCATCTGCCAGAGACCCTCAGATCTATCCCACTCCTGCCCAGGCCCCCACAGGCACCCTTGACGCAAACGATGTAGAGCTGGTCACACCCACCCAGAAGGCCACACCCACTCCATCCACGCGCACCCGGTAGGCTGTACCCACCCTGGCCACACCCACCCAGCCCCCTGAGGGCAACCGCAATGCTGATGCGGCCCTCAATGAAATTGAGTTTGACACCCCTGGTATAAACTAATCTCAGAGAAAGAAGTAAATTTGTAATTGTACTAATAACTACTGTAAAGAAAATTGGAAACAGCTCCATGATACCTTTTTTTCTTTTCTATTTTTCTTTCACTGTTAGCTTTCTCTTTGATTTCTCCTTTTTCTTCCTTACTTTATATCAGTTTGTATTAGTTTCTAACTTCACTTTTAAAAGTTTTAATGTGTGTGTGTGTGGGTGGGTGTATGTCTTGAGTGGGTTTTTTTTATGCACCCTGTCGGCCCAAATATGGGAGGAAGAAATCTCCTCCCCCCTTTAACTCTTTGTTATATATAAAACTGAAAAAAACTGACCTCCACTTGACAAATAGCTTGCCAGTCCTTGATAATTCATGAACATCTTGGCTGGTGTGGTGGGATCAGGCACTGAATATTGAGCAGCCATATCAGCACAGACCATCCAGAATCTGAAACAGAAATGAATTTTAAAAATTTTTATATGTAACTAACGTTTTGTTCTTTTACTCTGGAATATATTGTGCTTACATCCTGTTTATAACAATAAATCCATATTGACTGGCAAATTCTGGGAGTTGAAGTCCACACATCTTAAACTCGCTGAGCTTGAAAAACACTGGTTTATTAAGATGCTAGCTCAAAGCCATGCCAAGCGCAATCTGCTCGTCTCGCATCTGCTCTGCATTAGTTCCTCCTTTTTGTTCATGCAACATGTACAACAAACCTCGGGTCTGCATTTGCACAAAAATGCTACACGTTTCACCTTTTAAACTTGGTTGGCATTTTTGTGACTTGGTATGATGCCCAAACCTAAGTCACTCTGTGATGTTCTGGTTTGTTATATTGTGTACATTCAGGAAGCACTGAAATGAATCACTGCACTTGTTAAATTAGTAACACGGATGTTAGATGAATCTGTCTTCCCTATTGACTTTGCTTGCCAGAAGGTTGGAAAACATGGTCACATGACCCCAGGACACTGGAACTGTCATAAATATGCCAGGCATCTTGATTTTTGATCACAGAACCATGGGGATGTTGCAACAATCATAAGTGTGAAAAATGGTTCAAAAGTCACTTTTTTCAGTGCCGTTTTAAAATTGAATGGTCACTAAATTGAACTGAAATGACACATACTAATCCATGGGTCTTCAAACTTGGCCCTTTTATGACTTGTGGACTTCAACTCCCAGAATTCCTCAGCCAGGCACGCTGGCTGAGGAATCCTGGGAGTTGAAGTCCACAAGTCATAAAAGGGCCAAGTTTGAAGACCCCCTGTACTAATCACTTCTAGATGATCTAAACATACAGTGTAATATTCAGCAAAGGCAACTTGGTGCCCTCTATAACCTTTGGATTACAATTCCCAACATTGTTGATGGTTAACTCTGCAGTTTGAAGACTTTGCTAACCAAATCATCTTGAAAACCTCATTTTACTTATTTGCAGTCTTCACAATGCCTGAATTCACATATCATGTGGTTAAGGCACCAGGAGGAAAACAGGATACCTATTTCCCCCCCCCAGGCATGAAAGCCTGCTGGATGACTTTGGGCCAGTCACTCTTTCTCCACCCAACTCACCTCACAGGTTATTGTGGGAAACATAGAAAACGGAAGGAGTATCAGGCCTATTTGTCACCTTGAGTTATTTATAAAAATAATAAATGTAGGATAGGAATCCAATAAATAAATAAATAATAACATAGGTTGTTTGGCTTGGCCCTATCATACTGGGCAAAATTGGTCATTGTGATTTGTGAGTCATGGGCTACATTTGTGCAAACTCAGCAAATTCTGTTTCATTCAATGAACCACGGTTATATGAGTCAGGGCTGCCACTTCATGATTTCCACATCATAGTCGCTGGGCATCTTGATCACAAAAATGTAATTCTGTATAAAATGAACAAGTGCCCAATGATACACAGAAACACTAGTTACCCATATGCAGCTGCGACTCACCCAAAAAGCTTCATTCTGCCTTTGGAAGATGCAGTCATAGTCCCATCCTCCCCAATAGTGTATTCAGCTGAGATATTATCCTGTAGAAACAAACCTTCTGGGTCTTTCTTGGCCAGTGCATACCATTTACCTGCATACTAAAATACAAATATATATATATATGTAAGGTTACAAAGACAGTGAATGCATCTTCATGATGAACACTACACAAGACATGATTGCAAGCTAAAGTATTAATTGGATCTGATGGAGAGACGGAGGTATTCTTGCAAACCGATTGCCTATACGTCCTTAATTTAAACACAGATCTTAAACAATTGTCTAATTTGGATGCAGTGAAACCTACTGGTAGTACCGTCTCCTGAATCTGTCTAAATAGTTGGAAGTTTGGTCTAGTGATTAAGGTGTCAGGCTAGAGACCAGGAGACTGAATTCCACTCCCACCTCAGCATACAAGCCAGTTGGGTGACTTTGAGCCAGTCATTTTCTCTCAGCCCAACTCACCTCCCAGAATTGTTGTGGAGACGATAGGAGGAGAAAGGATATTAGGTTTGTTTGCTGCCTTGAGTTACTTATAAAAACATATATAAAGGCAGGATATAAGTAAATTAACAAAAGCTGAAAGCTGTTCAAACAGAAGAATCGAGTAATAATCTATTTCTTGCAGTAAAAATGTGGTCATTTTCACTGTTGTTTGTGAGGGCAATATTAGGTAGCTATTTGCAAGATGACACATTCAGTTGTACAATTAAGAAAATCCTTGAGGTAAAGGGCCAGTTAATAATGGAACCAAACTGTTGGAGGAATACAGTTCTTGTTTTTCTTATGGGAGGCCATCCAGCAGAGGCTGTATTGGGAAAATTGTGCCCTTATAGATTTATTGAATTATTTCTCCCATCATCCCTCACTATTGGCATATGGGGTGGGGCTGCTGAGAGTATAATTCAGCAAGAACTGGACAGATACAGACACCAATCTGCCATTTATCTACATGAGACACTCTGTCCCAGTGTTTTGGATTCAGTGGCCCCAAACCCCCCCGCTACCTCTTTGGTTCTGCCTGGAAGAGCCTCAGATTTGGAAGCCACTTCTTTGGGCTAGGAAACTAAATAGAGTCAGGCATACTTAGAACTTGAATAAGAACCACCAAGAAATATAAAGAGTGTGGAATAGACTGGGAAGTTCACCTGGGTCCAGCTAACCAAGGAACCATCTCACCCCAATAGGACTGGCCTGCAGAAAGTGTATGCTGTGGACCTCATCATTCAAGGAATTTTGACTGATGGGATCCAGGAGAAGAACCTTTTTGGCCATGGCTCCTGCCCTTTGGAACATTGTACTCCCCTCCCCCCAAGTGAAATCCATATTCACCCTTCTGTAAGGGCCTGAAGACCTGGCTCTGCCAGATGGCCTGGGGCCCCAACAGGGTGTATTACACTGGAGGTGGTTGATGGATTAAGGGAAGACCTCACCTCTCCCCAGGTGCCTCATGCTCCCTTCCTCCCCAACGTTCAATTGTAAATTATTATAGTTACCTATAGTGTAATGTTCTACTGACTTTTAATGTTTGTAAGCCACCCAGTGTTACCTCTAGGCAGCAAAAAATCATGAAGGAATGGAATGGAACGGAATTGAATTGAACGGAACGGAACAGAATGGAATGGATGAACTAAAAGTTTTCAAAAAACAACACAACCAATCAAGAGAAAGTAATGTGATACTGCTCTCATATTATTGTCATAATATGACAATATGACTGCTATGAAATCAGCAAGAGTAGAGTTGGATTTGAAGGAGATTTTAGGCTGTTTTACGTGCCTTGGTGATCACTCTCCTTCCTACGTTAGCTACAGCAGGGGCATGAAACAGATACAGCAAACCATTCCCCCGCCCCACCCCATATATTGTACAATATATGTATCTCCTAAGCCAAAACTATAAAACAAAAGGGAATAAGACTGACTTGCAAGTAGGTTCCCAGGAGCACAGTAAGCTGAGATTTTTTTTAAAAAAAAAATCAAAACCTTGACTCTCTGGTAAGAATGACACATTTTATAAACCAAGTCCAGTTCATGTGCACGAAGATATGTGGACTTCAACTAATGACTTTAATTCAAACCACATGCTCTTTACTCTTGATATTAGAAAGGGTTCATAATTACCCGTTTGAGGTCAAAGTCTTCCTTCACAGAGAATGAGTCTACCACACATGAAGTCTGCCCCATGCAATCATTAATCATGAAGATCAGGGTCATCAGGATGGTGTAGTGATTGTATTTCATTCTGTAAAGCAACACAATTCAGCCCAGATTAAAAAAAAAACCAGCTATATCTACTGTAACATCTTTTTATTTACTTGATTACCTGCATTCATCTACTAGTACTTAACTACAAAGATTCTTCCCTTGCTTTGAGTTCAAAGTCAGGGTGTACATTCCTACAGGTAACCTCTGCAAGATACTGTCACAAGTGGATAAACTGGAGTTGAATCTGAGGTCAAGACACAGAACAAGATGAGCACTTAGCAGCCCACTCAAAGGCCAAATAATTAGATGACTAATTCCTAACTTCACATAGCATCATACTTTTTTGAAGGTTTTTTTTAGAAAAAAAGGTGAAATAGCTTCCATAACACTCTTCTGATAAATGCCATAGTTCCTTAGGAACAGTTCCACCCTGAACCACAATTGTTCTTACCTCAGCCAACTTCAAAATGCTGTGATTCCCCATATGATCCAGTTAATGAATTTTCCAGCTGACCAATGGGAGAACATTAAAAAAGCACCCTGTATGCCACCCCACCACACTTTTGTTTGCTTATTTGATATTTTGTAAAAAAAATTATCTCATTTGATAAAACTCAGGAGAGTTGTCAAAGGACTACCTCTCTGTTCACAATTTTTAAAAAGTGACAAATGTTCGGATGAGAAGAAGAAGGTATGTTACTACTGCAGCTAAATCTCTTTGGTAGTGTTTATCAACCACAGCAACATTAAGATATGTGGACTTCAACTCCCAGAATTCCCCAGCCAGCCATGCTAGCTGGGGAAATCTGAGAGTTGAAGCCCACACATCTTAAAGTTGTGGGATTGAGAAACACTGCTCTATGTGGTGTGGAAAGAGCTAAGAAGTTGAAATAACTGCCAGTGGGAATGATTTGCTCCCAAACTTTGCAGAATTCCAGCATTTACACTGGAAAACCAGGCCCTCAGCATCTTAGCATGCACCACAACAGCAACATCATCATGGACTCAAAAAAGCCACAGCAGTGGGAACACGATGTGCAGAATTGTCCTAGATTTTACTGAACCAAACTCTGACTTGTTTGTATCTATTATGAAATATCTGCAAGGTGGTAGATGATTATGTGTGGCAGATCCTGCCCCTCTTAAACTGTATCAGTGAGCTACAGCTGAGAAAGGTAAGGAAACATTTGTTTCCTTTCATGGAGAAAAATGGAGTAGTACTCTTTTTTCCTTAAATCAAATTGTGGAAATGTGCTACATCAGTTTCTGGCTGTGATACAATTACATAATTTTAGACCTTACATTTTGCAGTTAGATGCTAGGCTTCTTTTTAAGCTTGTAATAAAGGATAAGCAAACGTGGGAAAAGCATACTTAATAGTATATATATCCAGGTGACTCCCTCTGAACGCTATAATTTTTAAAAACAATAGGAAGAAAAAAAATGCTGTGGAAAGCAGCATCTGCCCTAGAGATCTCTGCATATTCATGTTGGATGCAGGAAGCTGGGCCTGTGTCAGGCACAAAGAATCATGAGCACATGTTGAGTTTCAGTTAAGCTGATTTATTGCTCAGGTCTATTGTACGCACAAGAATGGAGTCAACTAATGGTCAGCACTTAATTAGCACTAGATAAGAATTAGTGGAATTCAAGAGGGGTTCAACTTAGACCCTTGTAGGAATGGTAAGGACTCAGGCTGATTCCTCTCTTGACTTCATCCCAGGCTCTGCTTTTTTACATTGTGCCTGTTGCTGTCCCTTCCTCCAATCTCTCTAGCTCACATTTTCAAAACATTTTTGGGAAGGTTGCCCTTGACTTTTAAAGGTGCATGATAATAATAACCACAATCTTCCCCACCCCCCCACCAAAAAAAGGCAAAGTCATCACCAAATTCTGGCTGTGAGAAGGACAAATGCTAGATTTCATTATAATATAATCTAAAGAGAAATTAGACTGTAATTAAACCAAAACCATATTAGCTCAATTAATATGATTAATCATTAATAATTCTCCATGTATGTAATAATGTCCCCCTTGGGCCACATTCAACATTCTAACTTGGCAGCAACTTTCAGGGGGTATGCGATATGCTCTTCTGGTTATTTAGCTCAACTAGATTGCAAGAACTATGATGAAAATGATTGAGAGCTCTTTTTAGGGCTATAATGAGAGAACAAAGAAACGTGAGACTCTGTAGATCATAGGTTGTTTTAAACATTCCTCTAACATTCATTATTTCCCCCTTGTGGTGGAACATTTCACCTGGACCATTTACCCCCAAACTTTCCATGCATGCATTAAATGTGCACAGGTAGAGTAAATCCTTTTGCCATTGTCCACCCTCTCTCACAGACAGGTCCTACAGCTACTCCATTGAATAATTTTATTCAAATCTTATTCTTTCTTCTGTATCCATTAAGGCTTTTTCTAATGTGTCTCTTTCCTAAAGAGGCCTGCCACCGTCTACCATCCCAGAATTGCAATTGTTGAGATTGATGGTTGCTGAAACACCAGCAGAGAGAATTGTTTGAATGCAAAAGACAGCAGGTTATTATCTCCGCGCTTAATATCTGCTTATGATCACAGATGTCATTTAGCTCTTGGGCTTTCTAATGCAAATGGCTCTGGTCCTCTCGTGATCTGATTAATTTACACATGCTTCCATGTTCCTTTTCTCAAGATGGTTGTTTCCGATACCTTTGCAGTCTTATTCTAAGACTATTCATTCCAAAGACAACTCCAAGATTTTAAAACTCACCCTTAATCAATATTCAGTGTCTCAAGAGTTAAAACAAAAAAGTGAGGAATGGCCTGTTTCTCAAAAGACCTGTTGAACCTCTGGCCACACCACTTCAAACCGATGGAGAGAGATCACCTGATCAAATGTGTCATCTTGCAAAACTATCAGCATTGCATTTCCAAAACTACTACCGAGAGTTTGCATACTTCTGAATCTAGATAAGGAACTACATTAAATTGCAGTCAACATTTGGGTTGCTCTCTCATAAGTGATTCTCACAGGGTTCCCTTGAGCTAGATAAGGCACCCTGTAACTTCTCTCAGATTGCCTGTGGCCCTTTTTCAATGGTTTATGGAAAATAAGAAGAGCAGTATTGTAGGTAAGTTTACCCCTTGATCTTGAGCAAAGTCTAGTTTCTGGCTCCCCTGGTTCCAAAGACTAAATGTGTATGTTTTCTTGTGTTTTGTGATGTTATCCTTTAACAATTCGAACAGCCTGCCCTGCTAGTTCACACTGTCTGGAGATTCAAATGATAAAGATTTTTTCCCCCCAGATTTTAGTTCTCCGACAACTGAAGCTTTACAGAAAGCAAAATGTAAAGTCTCTCTTGAGTTGTTGCCTAAACTATAACATGTAATCCTCATTCTTCAGATATTGCCATCAGCAGCTATAACTCCCAGCAGAATTTCTATCTCTCCAGTCTTGCAAATATCTAAAACCACAAAATGGTATGAATCCCTTTAACAGTCCAGACCAGGGGTAGCCAACCTTGGCTCTTTTATGACTCGTGGACTTCAAATCCCAGAATTCCTGAGCCAGCTATGCTTGGCTCTTTTATTCCTGAGCCAGCTATGCTGGCTCAGGAATTCTGGGAGTTGAAGTCCACGAGTCATAAAAGAGCCAAGGTTGACTACCCCTGGTCCAGACCAATATTTCTCAATTTTAAGAGATCTGGACTTCAACTCCCAGCATTCTGTAATCAACATATTGGCTGGAGAATTCTGGGAGTTTAAGCCGATACAATTTAAAGTTGCCCGGGTTGAGTAACACTGGTCTAGAAAGTCCATTCAGCAATAGTCAAACTGATATCACAGATGGCAGCTTCTTACCTAACAATTTAGTAACAGCAGAGAATAACTCCTACCTGACCTTAGCTAAGCTTCACTTCCATAATGTGGCTAAGGAACTCACATGGATGTATTCGTAAAATCATCATAAATTGAGCTCATCTCAGAGGAAACTTTATTTTTTTTTCTTTGCATAATTTTTCAGTTCCTTTAATATTTTGCTGAGACAATGTTCTTACTGTAAGTCTACTCTCCAAATGGCGGAAGCTATCCCAAAACAGAGTTCTTTCTGCTGCACATAGAGCTCCAGACTTTGTCTGCAATATTTATCGACTTAGAATGAACTGATTTAAGCCAGCAAGATCTTTCCTAACAAGGTCTGGCATCTCTGTTATCTGAAGAATAGCTAAAAACATTCATGGGCTACCTATGCTCTAAGCCAGGGGTAGGCAACCTTGGCTCTTTTATGACTCGTGGACTTCATGCTGGCTCAGGAATTCTGGGAGTTGAAGACCACGAGTCATAAAAGAGCCAAGGTTGCCTACCCCTGCTCTAGGCTTAGCCCATGAAACAGAGAACAAATGTCTTTTAGGCATTTATCCACAGAATCCAGCTATCTGATCTCTGTCTCATCTCATGAAGACAATAAACAGATAACTCTTTAAGATCGTATTGTATCTTACTTAATATCTGCTAACAAGGAACATGGCATTTCTTTTAAATAAGCGAATAAGCGAAAGAAAACAGACTTTCTAAACAAACTCACTGAAAAAAAACCTACCTTGATACCTTGTTGGAGCTCCTGGAATTCATTGCGAATAATTCTTGCTGTTGTTGGGCTATAGGCGACTCTCCTTGTTTTTGCCTTTAAATAAGGAAGCTTGAAAAGACCCTAATTGGCTATTTGAATCTGAATAAGATGCTTAACTGTGGATTATCCATTATGTAAAAACCACCATCTGTAATCTTTGTACTGGACTGTCCATCTTCAATTATCAATCCACACATCTTTTACATAACAGGAGAAACCATCCCAACCCCAAAACATCTAGAACCAAAACACCTTTGTCATTTCAGTCTTGTGAAACATAGAGACAGTTAAAACTGCACCACAAGATCTGCGTTAGGTTGAACATATTTTTTTTTAGCTAAGCCCATGTCCACTTAGCTTTTGCAAAATATTTAAGACCAGTGAGACCTTTATACCGTTTTACTCCCTTCTTGCCAAA